CCATAGGGGGTGCGCACGGGGTGGTCCCCCTATCCGCGCCGGTCGTCCAGGCCGTAGCAGGCGTGGCACTTTCTCGACACCATAGGGGGTGCGCAGGGGTGGTCCTAGGGGGTGCGCAGGGGGTGGTCCCCCTATCCGCGCCGGTCGTCCAGGCCGTAGCAGGCGTGGCAGTTTCTCGACGCCATAGGGGGTGCGGGGTGGTCCCCCTATCCGCACCGTGTGGTCCCGCCTATCCGCGCCGGTCGTCCAGGCCGTAGCAGGCGTGGCAGTTTCTCGACACCATAGGGGGTGCGCAGGGGGTGGTCCCCCTATCCGCGCCGGTCGTCCAGGCCGCAGCAGGCGTGGCACTTTCTCGACACCATAGGGGGTGCGCAGGGGGTGGTCCCCCTATCCGCGCCGGTCGTCCAGGCCGTAGCAGGCGTGGCAGTTTCTCGACGCCATAGGGGGTGCGCACGGGGTGGTCCCCCTATCCGCGCCGGTCGTCCAGGCCGTAGCAGGCGTGGCACTTTCTCGATACCATAGGGGGTGCGCAGGGGGTGGTCCCCCTTTCCGCGCGGGTCGTCCAGGCCGTAGCAGGCGTGCATGGCAGTTTCTCGACGCCATAGTGGGTGCGCAGGGGGTGGTCCCCCTATCCGCGCCGGTCGTCCAGGCCGTAGCAGGCGTGGCAGTTTCTCGACACCATAGGGGGTGCGCACGGGAAGGTCCCCCTATCCGCGCCGGTCGTCCAGGCCGTAGCAGGCGTGGCACTTTCTCGATACCATAGGGGGTGCGCAGGGGGTGGTCCCCCTATCCGCGCCGGTCGTCCAGGCCGTAGCAGGCGTGGCAGTTTCTCGACGCCGTAGTGGGTGCGCACGGGGTGGTCCCCCTATCCGCGCCGGTCGTCCAGGCCGTAGCAGGCGTGGCAGTTTCTCGACACCATAGTGGGTGCGCAGGGGGTGGTCCCCCTATCCGCGCCGGTCGTCCAGGCCGTAGCAGGCGTGGCAGTTTCTCGATACCATAGGGGGTGCGCAGGGGTGGTCCCCCTATCCGCGCCGGTCGTCCAGGCCGTAGCAGGCGTGGCCTCGACGCCGTAGGGGGTGCGTCCCCCTATCCGCGCCGGTCGTCCAGGCCGTAGCAGGCGTGGCACTTTCTCGACACCATAGGGGGTGCGCAGGGGGTGGTCCCCCTTTCCGCGCCGGTCGTCCAGGCCGTAGCAGGCGTGGCAGTTTCTCGACGCCATAGTGGGTGCGCACGGGGTGGTCCCCCTATCCGCGCCGGTCGTCCAGGCCGTAGCAGGCGTGGCAGTTTCTCGACACCATAGGGGGTGCGCAGGGGGTGGTCCCCCTATCCGCGCCGGTCGTCCAGGCCGTAGCAGGCGTGGCAGTTTCTCGATACCATAGGGGGTGCGCACGGGGTGGTCCCCCTATCCGCGCCGGTCGTCCAGGGCAGAGCAGGCGTGGCACTTTCTCGACACTTAGGGGGTGCGCAGGGGGTGGTCCCTGAGCGCGGCCGCTATCCGAGACGGTCGTCCAGGGCATAGCAGGCGTGGCACTTTCTCGACACCATAGGGGGTGCGCAGGGGGTGGTCCCTGAGCGCGGCCGCTATCCGAGACGGTCGTCCAGGGCATAGTAGGCGTGGCACTTTCTCGATTCCATAGGGGGTGCGCAGGGGGTGGTCCCTGAGCGCGGCCGCTATCCGAGACGGTCGTCCAGGGCATAGTAGGCGTGGCAGCTTCTCGATTCCATAGGGGGTGCGCAGGGGGTGGTCCCCGAGCGCGGCCGTTTTTCGAGACGATCGTCCAGGGCATAGCAGGTGTGGCACTTTCTCGACACCATAGGGGGTGCGCAGGGGTTGGTCCCTCACCGCGGCCGCTATGCACGACGGTCGTCCAGGGCACAGCAGGTGTGGCACTTTCTGGACACCATAGGGGGTGCGCAGGGGGTGGTCCCTCACCGCGGCCGCTATGCACGACGGTCGTCCAGGGCATAGCAGGCGTGGCACTTTCTGGACAAAATAGGGGGTGCGCAGGGGGTGGCAACGGCCACCAACATCATTCTTACATGCTTCACTTCAGCTATCATCACTCCAGCCATCATATAAGTATGTAGGGTTCCTCGGCAGCGTAATTCGGAATTCGCAAAAACCACTTCTACATTCGAGGAACCGTTCGTTTTCCTGGAATTCGCAAAAACCACTCGCTGCGCTGCGCTCTGGCGTTTGAACTCATAAACTAGGACTCGATTGGACAGGACACGCGAGAAGGCACAAGACGCTTGTGAGGGCCACATCGTCAACAGGAATGCAGGACGCACGGGTCGCGAGGCATAGGACACGAGGGTACCCTTGGTTTGGCAGGGCCGACCTACAAATCTGGGCCGACTACGCGGTTCTCAATTCGAGAGCCGCTCGGTGCGCGCCGCGCTCCGGGGCGCATCTGCGAGGGCTGGGCCGTCGGACGCGCTCGTCGTGGGCACGCCTCGGGCCGCCCTGGAGGTCGATCGCCGGGGCCGGGTGGTCGGTGGTTGCCGGAAGCACCCCTGGCCCAAGGAGGTACCCTCAAGTCGGGCGCGTCCCTCTGCAGGGGGAGTATTCAGAGATAGTAAAACATGCTCCAGGGACGATTGTTTTTGGCAATGTCTGAGCATTTTTGTCGGGGCATGTTCTGATTATTTGTTGTGTTCGTCCGTAATTCCCCTGGGGACAGGCCCGAATTAATGGTACCCCTAGGATTCTCGGGGTGGCCCAGGCGGCCTCCAGAGCACCCCTCACGAGGCCCAGAGGGCCTCAGGGGCCCCAAACGGGTGCGAGAAGCTGGGGGCACCGTGGGCCAGGGGCACTCCGAGCAACACCCGAATTGGGAGGAACATCGCAAAAGGAGTCCAAAAATAGTCCGGGGACGATTCTTCGATGATTGCTCGACTATGTTTGAGCATTTTTGTTTGTTCGCCCAGGATTAGGGGGACATGCCCGACCTAAGCCTACTGGGCGCTGCCCTGGTTCTGGCGTCGGGCCGCATCGGGGATGTCTTGGGGCCGTCGTTGGGCCATCCGGGGCGCAAATCTATTCGAGGCGTGCTCGGGGGGGGCGGTGCGAGGCCACTCGTGGGGGCCGTCTCGGAGCCTCCCGTGGACCCTCGTCGGCGCACTGGGCCCGCAGTCGGCTGTCCTGGGAAGCTCTCGGGGCCGGCCCGTTCGGGGACATCGTAGTTCGGGAGCCTTGAGACGGGGGTAAGTGCAAACGGGGGTCAGCCAGGGCACCAGATCCTGCAGGATCCTGCGAAGACCCCCTCTGGCGGACCCGGTTTAGCGAGCCGCTCGTGGCCGCGAGGCGGCCGCGCCTATTGGCTGACCCGGGTTTGCGAGGACCTGTGCTGCAGTTGTTGTTGTTCCTGCATTGCAGTTTTGGTTTCCTGCTGACCCGGGTCTGGATTGACCCGGGTCAGGAGATCCCTGAGTAGTGCGATGTTTGGGGCGACTACACGTAAGAGTGAGCCTTCGCCAGAGTGACCTCTGGTGCGGGCCCATTGGGGGCCCCCGATCGCCGAGCGCGATGCGACAAGAGCGTCTTGCGCGCTTCAGTTTGGTCCCTCCGCGGCCCCCCCTAAAGCCGCGCACCAAAGGTCACTCTTACCCAGGGTCTTCCTTGCGTGTAGCCGATTGGGCAGCGTCCTGCTTGCCCGTCCTGGACGTCATGACGACTGGAGACGCGGAAGGTGCCAACATCGCAATATGATTCGTGGTCGGTCAATGTCTTGAGCCTCTGCGGGGCCTGCCAGAGCTCCCAGGTCGTCTTGTCCTGCCTTGGAGGCGCCTCGTCCCGATTTTTCTTGGTGCCCTCTTGGACGATCTCGAGGGTTCGTTGCGCCGTCTTGGGGTATGTTTGGCCCGTTTTGGTTGCATCGTGGTCGGTTCTGGAGGACTGCGCGGTTGCCCGACTCGCGATCGGCAGGCATGGCGCGACCCCTTGGCATCATGTCTGCAATACCTGTACACCCCCATGCATCGTTTACGAAACATGCCTACAATGTAACGTTTTACATTTGCAGCACATGTCCCAGTTTTCGGTACATGAGTACATATGGCACGCGCTTTTTGCTATCGATGGTCTTCGACTCCACGCTTCCAAAATTGCTGCCCTGGACTTTCCCGCACAGTCTGGCCGTAGATACACACCTCGTCGGGGGGGGGCACTGCTGGACAACAAAAGCTCCGTTCGTTCCTCGCCCTTTTCTTTCTTCCCTTTCTCCACCTCTTCCTCTTCCCCTGTATTATCATATTTCTTCTTCGCCATCGTCCTCTTCTGTGTGTTACCTCTACTTCTACATTAGTCCCCGTCTCCATCTTACCTCGGCTTACCTCTTTTCTGCGTCCACCTCCTCTGTACTCCTTCGCTTCTTCCTCCTGGTCCTCGTCTCTCCATTTTCTCTTGGCATACCCAATCATGACTCTTCGCCTCCACCAAAACATCGTGTCCTTTTCCCTCTGCTCCTCCATCCTCTTTTTCCCCCTCCAGCTCCTCCACCCTGGGCTCCCAATCCGCGCCCACCTCTTTCTCCGAACTGAAGGCTCCATGCAAGCTGGCGCTCCACTGCGCGCAAGACGCGCAAGGGGTTCCAGAGTGCCTGTCTGCATGTACGTGTGCACGCGCATGTGTACACACGTCTCGGTGGCATGTGGTTCCAGCCACCCTAGCTGAGCTGGAGGCGCCAGCGGAGACCTCCCCCAGCGCGCCCCGTCGCCCCCCCGAGGCAGGGTCTCCGGTGCGCCCCGGGGTGGCCATGGCGCTCTCGGCGCTCATCGAGCCGCGGTCCGCGTCGCACCAAGCCGCGGCGCGCAGTGCACGGCACGCGCGTGGCTCGTGCGAGCCCCCGCGGAGGGGCCCGATGTCCGCACGGACTCTGCCGGTGGCCCTGCAGCACAGCGGCTGGGGCCCCAACGGCAGCCCCTCGGCCATGCGGCGGCAGGCGGGGCTCGGCGTCGCCGGCATCGTGCGGCGGAGGGCCTCGGCCACGCCCCGGGGCATGATGGGCAGCATGGCCGTCTGGTCCTCGGGCGTCGCCCGGGGGCAGTGCGGCCGGCGCCCGCCGGCGGCTGCCGGCTGCGGCTGGATGGCCGGGGCGCTGGCGGAGGACAGCGAGGGCGGCACGTCTCCAGCGGAGGGCGTCGCCCTGCCCAGGCTGGGCCTCGCCCCGCCCAAGGCGGGCAGCGCCCCGTCGGGGCGGGGCACCGCCGGGCAGGGCGGCGCTGCGCCGGGGGCGGGGGGCGTCCGCCTGCCGCAGCTGGACTCGCCCCGCCTGCCTGGCTCGGAGCTCGCCCAGGCCCTGCACGGCAGGAGGAGGGGGAGGAGGAGGAGGAGGAGGAGGAGGAGGAGGAGGAGGAGGAGGAGGAGGAGGAGGAGGAGGAGGAGGAGGAGGAGGAGGAGGAGGAGGAGAGAGCGAAGGACAGACATCGGCATAATTAGACGTGAGCTTCCGACGGTCTGAGCGGGCACCTCGGATCTGCGCCGGGCCCCCCTGGTTGCGCCTCCGGCGCCGCCCCTGGCGCGCTCTGCTCCTGCCGCGCTCCGAGCGCCAGCGGAGGGGTCCAGCACAGAGTGAAACAAATCCTTGCGCACCTCCGAGAAATTAGTTTTTTGCTCTCTGTGGTCCCGCGGCCCGAACGAAGTACAGTCAGCTCGTATCATAAGGATGCGCGGTAAGGATGCAGGGGCCTCGAAGGCCGGTGTGAGCGTTTTCCAAACGAGGTTGGCCAGCGGGAGTGGCCAGGGATGGGCCGCAGGGGCAAGGATGCAAGGGCACCCTTGGGAAGGTGGCCCGTCCTTATGAGCGCAAGAGGAAGAACCACGTAAACGTAAACGTTTTGGCCCTTCGCGCGGAGCGCCAAAAAGTTTACGTATGTTTATGTGGCTTTCCCTTCTTCTGTTCATGCGGGTTGGGACTTGCACAGTCAAGACGCCGAACAACAGGACCACAGTTGGCTTCGGGAGGGGCTCTCGCTGTCGGGCTGCTCCTCCGACCCGGGTCGGGGAACCCGTCTCCGCGGCCGAGGCCAGCCGTTGTCAGAGACGCCCCCTTTCGTTCCCGACAGCCAGCCCGCATAGCAGGGACGAGCGACCTTCCAAGGTTGCCCTTGGCGTCGTTTTTTATTAATGGTTCTGCCAATCGGCGCGGGCCCCTCGCCCCCCCCCCCTCCCCCCGACCCCACGGAGTAGGTCTCGGCTGTTTTTGGCGCCCGTTCCACGCAGGCGGAGTCTCCCCCACAGGACGCACAGTTGCAAACAGTCGCGCCAGTCCCCCTTTCCGCCCACTGTCGAGACGCCGAACAAGAAAACGTTCACCTTGCATCCTTCCTCTTCTGTCCATCCGTGGCCGCTGTTCGCTGACCGCGCCCCGCTCGCAGAGTGCCGACATGGCCTTCCAAGGCGTTCGCACCCTTCTCGTGCGTCCTTCTCTCCTCCCTCCCCCGGCCCTGGGCTTGGCCTGGTCCCCGAGCGTCGTTCCCTCCTCTGCCTCCTGCTGCCGTTGCTATCCCGGGTCGTCCACCTTGGGGGGCCTCGTGGCGAGGGGGAATGTTCAGGAGGGGAAAAAACACACAGACAATGAATCGTCGATCCCCAAGGAAATATGGGGAAATATGGGAATTGGGCGGGAAGAAGAAATCCCAGAAAATATTGGAAAATATGGGGAGTCATTTTATTTGTGTGTATTTATCTGTGTGTCCTTGGGCCCCTTGAGATGTGCATGACAAGATTTCAGACACGCCCTGTCCACAGAGTTGGCGACGAGGGGGTGTTCGAAGTGCTTCGCGGCGTTCGGCCGCCCCCGCGTCGGCGCCAGCGTCCCTGCCCATGCGCCCCTGACGTGCACGGCGTCCTCCCTCGTCAGACGGGCTGCCTGCATTCAGCGCGCCCCGAGGTACAGTCGGCGGCCCGGATGAGTAGGTCGACCCTGCCAGCTCCAGGGTACCCTTGCGTCCTGCGTCTCGCGGCCCATGACTCCGACACTCCTGTGGCAATGTGGCCCTCGGACGGGTCTGGTGTCCTCTCGCGTGTCCTGTCCAACCACGGCCGTCTGCAGCACCACGGCTGCACGCCCAGGCGCCGCAGGCCAGGCCGCCGGAGCTGTGCGGCCGCGGGGGCCAGGCCGCAGAGCCGTGCGCCACGCCCGGCGGGCTGGAGCTGCCCGGCTCCGCGAAGGCCTCGGGGTCACGGGCGCGCCCGGCTGCCCTGGAGCGCGGAGGAGGAGAAGGTGCCTTCTACCCCCCTGGAGGTCTCGAGATGGGCACCAGCAGCAAGAGAGGGGGGTGCGCCACCGGGGGAGAGGACGATCCTACAGGTTTCGGTGTGGGTGGCAGCAGTTCTGTGTCCTGGGAAGCAAGAGTCCCCCAAATCCCTCCTTCGTCGTCCCCCGGGTCCGGTTCTTTACGGCGCCGTTTTGTTAATTAATTGGGGGGGTCCGGTTTATTAGGGCGCTTTCTTTGGATTTTTCGCTTGGGGGCCCTAGCGCATCGAGGCGCCCCGTCGAAGAGGGGGGTCTGGAATATTGAGTCGTATTTGGAGGGGGGTCCGGCTTTTCAGGGGGGGTCGATTAATGAGGGATTTGGAGTATTACCACCACCCCCGAGGTCGAAATCATCTGCCTTGGTGGAGGCCCACCGCTGATTTTGGTGTTGGTGTCAAAACTTCTGGGCCTGCCCTACCCGTGCCCCGTGTTCCCGTTTTTTGGGGGGCCTCCTGGGCGGCCCTCGTCTCGCTGCCGCGGAAGTCGCCGCGAGATTCTGGTCAGAAGCGGAGCAGCAGTGTCGGCTCCTTGTGTCGCAGGCATAGAGGTTGACACCAACACCAGTAATCCAGAAGCCGCATTAAAGTGATCATTTCCCCCCTCTGTGACAGAGGGGGTGTTTTTCGGACCCCCTCTGTGACAGAGGGGGTGCGTTCGGAGGCCCTCTGTGACAGAGGGGGTGCGTTCGGAGGCTCTCTGCGACAGAGTTGCTCGTCATCCCCCTCTGTGACAGAGGGGGGGCCAAAAAACAAATGATCACTTTAATGCGGCTTCTGGATTATCGGCGGTGTGCCTCCACCGAGGGACGAAGATCCTGATCTCGGTGATGGTGGTAATATTCCAGCTTCCAAGGTGACCGAAAGATTAACACCAACACCGAAGTCTAGGATCTTCTTCCCCCTGTGGAGGCACCCCCCTGTGTTGGTGTCGGTGCCCATTTCCGGGTTCCAGTTTGGGTCTTCCCAGGAGCTGGCTGGCGCGGACCCGCTGCCGGCCAGGCTTGGCGGCGAACGCCGAAACCTGTCTTCGCCGCTCCACGACTCAGGATGCGGGGTTCTGGGTTAGAGGTTCTCGTTGGCGGTTCGGTCGGCTCTCCCCTAGCCCTCGGGCTGCCTTCCATGCGGCTCCGCGGGGGTGGCGGGCTCGGAGCCGGAGCGGCCGCCGGAGTCCCGAGCTGCGACGCGAGAACCATCGGGGGGCGGCTAGCACCGTAGCCGATCCACGCTGCAGGCAGCTCGATGGGCGGCGGGGGCACATAGGGGTTACGTCGGGCCTGTCCCTCTACAGGGGGGAGATTCAAGAATAGTCAAAAAATAGTATGGGGACTATTTTTTGAGTATTTTTTGATTAGTTGGGGGTATTTTTTGAGCATTTTGTATTTTCGTCGAAGATCCCCCTGCAGGGGGACACGCCCGACTTAAACATAGGGGTTCGGAATGCGCCGAGCGCGCGGCGAAACCCGGCCCCTGCCCCTGCCTCCCGTCGACGCGGGAGCGTCGAGGGTTCTCGGCCACGCGCACAAGGGGGTTGGGGGGAGGGGGCGGGGCTTCTTAGGAGCACCCCTGCTCCTCAGAAGGCGCGGGCCTTGTCTACTTAGATGCAAGGCCGGCGCCTGCTGAGAAGCAGCCTGCTTCGAAGAAGCCCTCCCCCCCACTTCCTTGTGCACGCCGCCAACAGTTACCAGTTTGAAACACATCCGTATCCCTATGTTTGACATCACCTCACCTCGATGCCGATCTCAAGGATTCCCTCAGTTTCCGAGGGCCTATCCCTAAGATTGTCCTCGCTTTTTGCTCGCCCATCTTAGGGATAGGGATAAGTTCGAGGCTGGGTAAATAGGGTTCGGAATGCGTCGAGCACGCGGCGAAACCCGGCCCCTGCCCCTGCCCCCCGTCGACGCGGGAGCATCGAGGGTTCGTGGGGGGGCGGGGCCCAGTCGTCGGCACCCGCAGGCCGGGTGCGGACGTGGGCAGGCCGGCGGCCAAGCTGGCGGCCGTGCAGTTCCGCGGGGAGTTCGCCGCTTGCCTGCACGAGGAGTTCGCCGCGTGCCTGGACGAGGGCGAGGTCTCGAACAAAAAGGAATTAGGGGGCTACACGCGAACCCTACCCCTTCCCCCCCACGATTTTTGAGGGGGAGGGTGGGGTTCACTTCGCTCGGAAGCTCCCGAACGAAGTGAACCCCACCCTCCCCCCCAGAAATCGTGGGGGGGAGGGGTAGGGTTCGCAAGTGGCCCCCCAGGAATGACACCAGAGAGAAGCCCCAATCCCCAATCAGTGGGTGGTTTTCGCTGAGGAGATCGACTGGGAACCCGGGAGCCCGGGAACCCACAGAACCCACCGAAATCGGCCCCGAGCCAATGACGGGGATCCCGGGAACCCAGAGGCGGGAACCTGGGAACCCAGCTTGCTGCCAAAATCGCCAAATCTTTCAACTTCCGCTAAGATCCCTTTAGTGCAAGCACTGATTGGGGAACGTTTGCACGAACGTAAACCTTTTTGGAGCTCCTCGCTGATTTCGCGGATCTGCGCTGCGACCCCCTGGCGGGGCGCTTCCGTCGCCGCACGGCGCCAGTCCAAGAAGGCCCGGCAGAGCTCCGAAAGTTCGGGTTTACGGCGTTGATTAATTATGTTCCAACTTACCTTAGCCTTCTTCACCAGAAAGAATTTCGAGCACCCAAACATACCGAACCTCGAGGGCTTTCACGTGGTGGGGCCCTGGGAGACACTCGTCCGACACTGTGTCGATACTCTTTCCACACCTTCCTGGGTGCTCGAAACTATTTATGGGATGTTGTCCTGAAGTACGATGGGAGCAACATAAGCTTTGATGTGTTCGGTTCCTCTAGATCAGGAGCGAAAAAGGACGCACGTGTACATGAATCCGCCACCAACCAGCATTTTGCTTCTTCCGGTACTTCGCCGCCGGGTTCCTGTCCATGGCGTTCCTTTGCAAGCACATCGCCTTCGGCACCGCCTGACCCCGGGGCTTTGCCCCCTCCTGGCCTTGACGTGAGGCCCCTCCTTCTGCCCCCCCCCCCTTTGTTGATTCAAGCTGTGCGCGGCCCGCTTAGTTTCGACCGGAAGAGGTGCGCTTTCGACCCGCGAATCAAAGAAAGTACACGAATCCGCGCCGGCCTCGAAAGTGCGCACTGCGCGATCGTTGCAGCGCGAGGCTGGCCTCGCCGACTGGGGGGGGGCGCGTGTTCATGTACTTACGCAGTCGGATGCGTCCCTCCTTCGTTCAGGAGGAAAAGAAGCACACAGACACAATTAATCCTCGATGGGAAGAGGGCGGGAAGACACAAACCCAGAAGATATGGGGAATTGTTTTATTTGTGTGTCTTTATTTGTGTGTCCTTGGGCCCCTTCATTCTTGTGGGTTCCCGACTGGAGCTCGTAGGAGAGGAAAGGGGGCACGAAGTCTGCTGCGTGCGGCTGGGTCAGGACCCGCTGCCAGTTCCATTCCTCGATGCACGAGGGCCTCCCAACGCCAGGAGGCGCCAAGAAAACCAGCTGCGCGAGCTGGTTCTCTACCCTGCCGTCTGCTATCCTATCCTTCCGCCCCCCTCCCCCCGACTCTAGAAGTCGACGGGCCGCTCAGAGGTCTCGACCCATTCCCCGGGACCGGCTCGTCATCCCGAGCCGTTTCTCGATGGCCGAAAACGCAGAGGCCGCAGAGGCCGAAGTGGGGGAACAAAAACCCGCCGTGATTCTCTTGCGGGCTCCCGACCGGAGGTCGACAGGCTGCTCCGCATCGCCCAGAGGGTCACGAGCTCCAGCCCCTCCGACACCTTTAGCACCAGCGGCGCCCAGGCCTACCGCCTCCGCGAGGCCCTGCGGCCCCTGCGCGAGAGCCCGGAGGGGGCCGCGATGGGGTACTCGCACCGCCTCTGGGTGAACAGGCTGGGCCGGCAGAAAGTCGGCCACGCGCCGACTGCTTCCCTCGACTAGACGTAAGAGTGACCTCTCGCCGGAGTGACCTTTGGTGCGGGCACAGATGGGCCCTCAGATGGCTGAGGACGAGGCGGTAGCAGCGGCCTGCGCGCCCAGGTCTGGTCTCCCCGCGGCCCCCAGAAAGCCGCGCACCAAAAGGTCAATCTTACCCAGGGTCACTCTTGCGTGCAGTGGTTTCCCCAAGGGCTCCCAGGAGGGCGCGAAGTTATTCGCGCTTCGCGCTTCGCGGTCCTCGTTTCTCCTCCCCCTCCTCCTCGTCCTCCTTTTCTCCCTTTGGGGGGGCGGCGCGAGAGCGCGAAGTTATTCGCGCTTCGCGCTTCGCGCAGCGCGAAGCGCGAAGTTGGGAGCCCTAGTTTCCCTGGAGAGAGCCGACCCTCCGAACAAGAACTGGAGCGGGCCGTGCTGGTGTGTGTTTCGGCCTCCCGGGGGCCCTCGCCGGGCCCCGGGGGCGTCCGCCGAGCATTTTCTCTGTGGGGGGAGGGCAAGGGATGACGTCTGAAGTGCCGTTTCGATGGATTTGTTCGAGGTTCGAACATACGAGAGGTGAATCACGAGACGGATGGATTTTCGAGGTGCAGAAGCCCATATGGATTTCACCCGGAGCCCTCCACCCCAAGAAAATGCTCAGGTCAACAAAACGACTCAGGACTGGCCGTGCAGTCGGGGCGCTGAAGAAGGAACCTTTTCGTTGGGGAGGTGCTCGGTGTTCCTTGATTGTTGTACAGTTTGTTCCTGGGGTTTTCCTGGGGTTCTCCGTGGTAGGTCGAAGTTCACTTATGGGAAAAGGGGGCCGCGTTCCTCATTTAGGGTTCCTTAGGTCAACGCCCTGACGGTATAGTGAAGTGGTCCAGACCTCCAGGGCCCACGCACCGCTTTTGGGTGAAGAGGTCGGGCTGGACGTAGACGGACACGCGCAGGGGGTTCGAGGCTCGAGGATTGAGGTCTTCGGGCGGTTTCGACGGTGCTCGGCTGCTTTCCAGCCTCGATGTGCATCGTGCTGAACTGCCGTCGGAAAGCCGAGTTATAATCCTCACGTATCGCAGCGGAGGAAGAATTGTTTACGCTTCGCGAATCTCCACCAGCCCATCCAGAAACGATGCCCAGAGGAATTGCCCCGATCAGGGAAGTGAGCAGCACACAGAGGAAGCCACTATGAGACATCTTGGGATATAGCTTGAGCCATCTTGGAGGTCATCTTGGGCTCTCCCAGGCGCTCTTGGAGTCATCTTTAATCAGTGCCCCCCCCACCCCCTGAGAGTTAATTATCCCGGGCCAAGACAGAGTTGGTCGGGGTCAAGGGGCGGCGAGGCCGACCGTCATTATCGCCGGGGAGAGTACGACTCGAACTTGATATCCTCGTTTATGTTGAGCAGCAGCACTATCACCAACGTGTGGCAGTGATATGGGATTCTCACTACTTCAGCTTTCCTTACTGACGGACGTGTGGCAGGGCCATGGATTTCTCACCACTTCAGCGTTCCCAAGTCACGCACGTATGGCAGGGCCATGGGATTCTAACCCCATCAGTTTTCCCGCCAGAGAGAGCGGGGATCATCATACCATACCGTTTCTCAGGTTTTGTGTTCCTCCGACCCCATCCATGGAGATTCCTCCAGAGCGAGCAGAGTTTCGCTACGCTATATCATGCTATGTCTTAGGTTTCGTGCTTCTCCGACCCCTCCAAGGAGGCCCCGCCAGAGCGAGCACGGCAACGCCAGTTATACCATACTATTTCTCTGGTTTCTTGTTCCTCCGACCCCTCCAAGGAGGCCCCGCTAGAGCGAGCAGGCTATCTTTATACCGTACGAACACATCATCGCACATGCGAGTTGCCGAGACGATGAATTTCTTATACCCCCGATCCACGAATTTTATGATCCCCACCCTCTGATTATCTGGGGCATCGGGTTCTCAATACCGCTACCCTCGCCTCGGTTTCGCCTTTGTGGGCCTCATTGGCAGCCCTCGTCGCCACTGCTGGATGCGCCTCGAAATCCTGGTCAGAACCCACCCCGGGAGAGGTTCGGGGAGCAACGATATCGCGATGCATCGCAGATACAACGGCGATGCATTGGCGATGCGGCGCGATCCTCCGACCCCATATTCTCGGACCCCATCTAGGAGGCCTGGAGGCAGTGCCTGAAGACGGGGCGTTCCAACACAACTCGCCCGATGCAACGATTTCCCACCATCGCAATCATATGCAGGGGAGGGAGGGGGAGGAGGAGGAGGAGGAGGAGGAGGAGGAGGAGGAGGAGGAGGGAGGAGGAGAGAGGAGGAGAGGAGAGAGGAGGAGAGAGGAGGGGAGAGGGGAGGAGGATGAGGAGGAGTAGGAGAGGGGAGGAGGAGGAGGAGGAGGAGGCAGGCGAGGAGCAGGAGCAGGGGAGGAGGAGGCGGGAGGAGGAGGAGGAGGAGGAGGAGGAGGAGGAGGAGGAGGAGGAGCAGGAGGAGCAGGGGAGGAGGAGGAGGAGGATGAGGAGGAGCAGGAGGAGGAGGAGGAGCAGGAGCAGGAGCAGGAGGAAGAGGAAAGAGGAGGAGGAGGAGGAGGAGGGGCAGGAGGAGGAGGAGGAGGAGGAGCAGGAGCAGGATCAGGAGCTACCCCCCCTGTACTGACGCCCTCTCTGGGCGAACAGGTCGGCGGCGAGCCCACGGGGCTAGGAGATGACACATCCCTGAGGCCTCGCGCGGCGCGCGCACTGCGCGGAAGGATTGTCCAGTCCGCACGTCCGTCCCGCCAAAGGTGGGGCGGCGCTCGCGCAGCGACGTTCCTCGTGGGCCTGTCTTCCACCACCACCAGAAGTTGGAGGGGGGAAGGAGGAGGGGAATGAGGAGGAGGAGGAGGAGGAGGAGGAGGAGGAGGAGGAGGAGGAGGACCCCCTCCCCCTCCTTTTGTGGTGGTGGTGGAAAACAAGCCCACCAGTTCCGACGCGCATCCGACGTGATCCGACGTGAAGCCAAGGCAATCCCGAGGCGGATCCGACGTAAGTTGGGTCTCAAGCTGCCGCGCGAGGCCTCCAGGACTTCCTCCTCGAGTGAGTGCAGGGGGGCAGGCCATCTCAGAAGGCTGCGGGGTCCTCTCGGAGGCCCTCGCGCCATCCGAGAAGCCGTACTCTTCGGAGGAGGCCTGCAGCGCTCCTCGGGAGGCTGGAGGCCCTCCGAGCATCCCGAGAAGCCCTGCCCCCTCGGTCTCCCCCCTTTGGGCCCCGCCGCCCACACAGGGCGATCGTGAAGCAGGCGCAGCGGAGGCCCGGTGGAATGAACACCTGCACACCCACACAAGCTTTCAAGCCCCCGCGTGGATCTCTCGGAGAGCGGCGCTGCCCCCCCCCCACCCCGCGTCTGCGCCTCCGGCGCCGCCTCTCTGGCGCGTTCCTTGCTCCAGGAAGGGTCGCGGGCGAAGCCACATCCGCACCTGCGGCCCCGGCAGGCCAGGCCCCAAGGCCGCGGCCCCGCGGATGCGGAGCGCTGACTCCAGGGCTGCCCCGCGCGGCACGCGTCCGTGCGACCGCGCATCCGCGGGATGGGGCCCCGGAGTCCAGACCGCGGGGGCGCGGATACAGATATGTTCGCCGCTCGTGAGCGGGGGGTCCAGCGCGGATCCAAGGAATCCGCGCGGGCCTCCGGAGGTTGCTGCTCATGTCGGACGGGGCTCGGCCGAGGATGGCTCCGTTCCAGAGTATTCCGGGACGCTCTCAGCGCGTGCCTAAACGCTCTGGGAAGGCCGCAGCGTCCGAGACATCCTCCAGATCGGTATCGTTTAAGCGATCCCCATCCCCATCTCCATCCCCCTCGAGACCCCCACCAAATCACCACCCCAGTTGGGGATACACCCCTCGAAACCCGAAGAGAACGACCTATCGGCCAGCGGGGCCCAGGCCACGCCGCTGGGGATGGGGATCGGTTAAACGATACTCACCAGAGCCGCTGGATCTCAGAGATTCTCGATTCATCCTCACCCCAATGTATCTCCGTTCTGGCTTCGTCTTGTCATGCTGCCCTCAAGACGCCCCACGTCATAATAGTTTCAAAAGGTGGACCCTCAGGGGTCTCGACCCATTCCCCGGGGCCAGTTTTCCGTCCTGAGTATTTTTTTTGACGGTCCCGAGGCCCAGCGAGCGCCTGTAGAGCCCACCGCTACGAACTACCATAGGCAGGAGAGGGAGGAGGGAGGAGGGAGGAGGGAGGAGGGAGGAGGAGGAGGAGGAGGAGGAGGAGGAGGAGGAGGAGGGGGAGGAGGAGGAGGACCTCCCCATCCTCCCCTATGCTTCTTTCAGAACGTCGACCCCCAGAGGTCTCTCGACCCAGTCCCCGGGACCGGTCGTTTGGCCCCCAGAGGTCTCTCGTCCCGAGCCGTCTTCTTGCTCCTGGGCCCGAGGCCCGGCCTTTGGCCCCCAGAGGCCAAACATTGGCCACCAACGCCTGCCGTTGCGATTTTGTCAGGACTCGAGGGGGGGGTTGCGCCTCCCCCCCTGTCCTACTCCAAATCCCTTATGAATCGCCCCCCGGGTCCGGTCTCTTAAAGCGCCTTTTTTTGTAACCGGGGGGGGGGTCCGGTTTATTTCGGGCCGTCGAAGAGGGGGGTCCGGAAGATCAGGTCGCATTTGCAGGGGGGTCGGGCTTTCTATTGGGGGGGGGGGTGGTCGGGAGCCTTGAGACGGGGGTCAATGCAAACGGGGGTGAGCCAGAGCGCCAGATCTTGCAGGATCCGGCAGGGCCGGGGGCGCATTAACCTGGGTTTGGGTGGAGCTGCAGGATCCTTCGCGTTGACCCGGGTTTGGGTGCAAGACTTGCAGGATTTTGCAAGGCCGAATGATTGACCCGGGTCTGGATTGACCTGGGTCAGCAGCTCCCCGAGTCGGTTAAAAAGGGATCTGGAGTACTTGTCGAGGGGGTCCGGGCTTCGTCTAGTCGTGCTGTGTCTTGTGCCTCTGCGAGGCGGCGGCAGCTCGCGAGCGGCAGGCCTCCAAGGGGGGAAGAAAAGCATCCACAGGTACAGAGGGGCGTCGATCCACAGGAGAGCATGGGATCATCTGGACAGTGAGGTACACATAGATAGTTTGCAATACAAGAATTTAGACCAGAATTTATACTAATAAACTTGGTGCTTCGTGTGTGCCTACCTTTGGAAGGGAGTCGGATGTTAATCTAGAGCTCTATTGAATCATACAAAGGGAGATTATTGCCCTTAAAGTTTTCAAGTGGTGACAAAAACTGTGAACATTGTAATGTGGGAGACGAGACTCCTTAGAGCATGTGGACAAACATGTGGGATGTCTGTCTTTTAGGCTTCCGAGATGGGGTCAGAGTAGATGGGGTCGGTGGATCGTGCCGCATCGCCGATGCATCGACGATGCGGCTCGATGTGGAGCCCGTATTTCCAAACGCCGACGTCGCCGATGCACCGTCCACGTCAACGAGGCATCGCCAGTGCATCGCCGACGCATCGCCCGTTACATGCATCGCCGATGTA